CTGGAAACCAACAAAGGGAGCATTTCCGTTTCCAGCAGCAGTCCTCCAGATGTGATAAAAGCATATCAAGAGCAATTTCAGCATGATTTTTCGATGTTTTTAATGTCTAGATCAAAAGAACTTGTAGCAGGGGGACGAATGGTCTTGACATTTTTAGGAAGGAGTGGCGATGATCCATCAACCAAAGAATGTTGTTACTTTTGGGAACTTTTGGCCTTGGCTCTCAATGACTTGGTCTCCCAGGTACTTAAATCTCTTTTCTCTCTTTTTTTTTTTTTTTTGGGTTTTTCTCTAGGCAAAAGAAGATTAATTTTGGCTTTATTTGATTTAGCTGTTTTCTATAACCTATAGTATTATGCATGCTAGCTCCAATAGAACGAACACAAAGCGTTGGAAAACAACAATATTTAACCATATTATTTTTTAAAAAATAATTATTAACATTAATGAACAAATGCAGGGACTTATTGAAGAAGAGAAAATGGACTCCTTCAACCTTCCTCTTTACTCACCATCTCCAACTGAAGTAAAATCAGAGATCTTGAAAGAAGGATCCTTTGACATTGATGCCCTGGAGGTCAACAAAATGATCTTGTATGGACAGCCTGACCCAAATGAGCTTAGCCTGCACAATTTACTCAATGATGGTGGATACGCTGTTGCAAGGTGCATTAGAGCTGTGACTGAGCCGTGGCTTGCAGGTCACTTTGGTGAAGCCATCATCGACCAGGTTTTTGAACATTACAGAGAAATTGTTGGCGATCGCATGTCTAAGGAGCGGGGTGAGATCGTCAATATCACACTTTCCCTCATAAAATGTTGATGGATCAACATGTTCAACTAGCTAGGAGGATTAGTTAATGGCTCTCTAAATAACATCCATCCTCTGCTACTAGAATGCTATAAAGGAATTGCACTCAAGTCTGGGGAATCAACCATGTTCGTAAGATGTGTTCGTAACTTGTGGCTATTATTACGTGTTTTACAGTATTTCTGTTGTATGGACCGCATAATAATTGAGGCACTTCTGTATTGCTGGTTGTTGGGTTGGCCCATGGGCCATGCCCAAACCTTTTATCATTTGTAGCGAATTTAGATTGGCCCATGGGCCCTTCTCTACCCTTTTGGTCATGTTTTCTTCTTCCTCCACAGCTTCTCCAATTCATTCATCAGCATCGGCTATCAGCCTATCAGCCTATCACAAACTCATTCGAAATGTTACTCTTAAAATCATATGTAAACACCAACAGTCATGGTTCATAGTTGACTCACTCATCATGAAGCCTTTCAATAACTGCATAGCAACAAGTTGAAGCATACTGATTCACCCACTCGTCAAAGGAACCCATCAAAATTATTGTATAAAGTAAGATAAAATTGTAGGTGAATCATTTTTTAATTATTTTATTCTAGATATTCTTTTTAGTATATGAGCACTTTTGATCCAATTGACTGAAATTGTGGATGTTATCATCTTGTGTCTTAGGCATAGATTAGCAGATCCTTAAAACTTGAAGTTAGAAAATAATTAAGAAAAACTACATATATAAATATCTCTCATTACAAGGAATGCCGTGTCATAGTATCTATATTTTTATAATACTAATCAATTAACGATCCAATGTACTCTAGGAATGCATGCTGCATTGATGCAATCAATGACACTGAAATTGAAGAGATCTTGGATGAGTCCAAAGCCTCAAAACTATTAGAGATGTGACTGTCAATTGAAGTAAACATTGCTGACTAAGCTCAACCAATTGGCCTCCTTATAGCCATTAAAAAGCAATTTTTTCAGTTAAATGCTAATTATGGTACCTCAACTTTAGGCTTTTATATAATTTCCATACCTTAACTTTTTTATATATTTTTTTTGTCCTTATCCATGAAAAATATACTATTTTAGTCTTTCTATCTCTAAACTTTTAAGTTAAAGGAAACAAATTATGCAAAATTCTAAAGTTGAAAGAGTAAAAATATGTATATATTGATAAATTTAACTTATTAATTAATCAAATTACTAAAAAATACAATTTTAATAGTCAAGGGATCAAAATTAACATTCAACCTCTTTTTTTTTACTGTTGGTAGAAACAATTTTCCTCTTTTAAATTCCCTGAAACCCTTTCAGGTACTGTTCAAAAAAAAATTCCCCGATACCTCACCTCCTCACCTCTTTCAACTCTAACCCTAACCCTCTTTACATCCCAATCAAATAATTGGTGGCCTTATACACAATACTGAAGATATTTTGAAGAAATGGGATATAGCTTTCAATAATTGCCAAACACCTTTATGGTGAATGTGAAAAATACACCAAGAAATCTATTATCTATTCATTTGTTCTCTGTACCTGATGGGGTTGGAGACTTTGAGAGGGCAGGGAGGATGCGGGGGTCATTAATCATTTCTCTTCTTTTTGCTTCCATTTCTACCTCATTTATGTACTTAGGGAGGGGTCCCCCGCAGCTAGTCAAATGTGTCATATGGTTCCAAGAGACAAGGATTGTTATTGTTTGAACTCTAGGGCACTGTAATTGGTTTCTTGTCAAATATGACAACAAAAGTTGAGACTCCCAATGTGTTCGATATGTAAGGTTAAAGACATAACCTTTCCAAGCTTTTCTGCACCACAAGATGTTCTGCAATGGTGTTGTAAAATTACAAATGAAGAAGAATCCTTTGTTATCTTTCCCCTATTTTTGGTAGCTTTGATGAAACCAAGAACTAGTTTAGATGCATAAAAACACTACAGTTTTGAGCAATAGGTTAAAGTGCTTTGAATCTCATGGTGACACTAAGTTTGAATTCAGTACTTTTTCACTTTTT